ATGAAGAAGAAGATGCAGAAGAAGAGCCACAATCGACCGAAGTTACGATACATACACTAGCTGGCTACTCAAACCCGCAAACGATGAAAGTTGGAGGCCTTCTCAAACAACAACCGATCACTGTTCTCATCGACACGGGCAGCACTAATAACTTCCTAAACAGTAAGGTTGTTGTCCATATGAACTTACCTATTGAGAATTGTAGCAGGTTTGTCATTAAGGTCGCCAACGAACGGATTTTGAAGTGTGATCATAGGTGCCCGCAGGTGAAACTGTTGCTGTAGGACCAAGAGATAATTGCAGATTTATTCCTCCTCCCTCTTGATGATCATGAGGCCATCCTCAGAATTAAATGGTTGATGACATTAGGTGATATTTCTTGAAATTTTATGCAACTAATTATAAAATTTTACAGTAAGGAGAAACAGGTGATACTGCACGGGAAACGTGAAGGCGACGTAACGACGATTTGCACACAACAAATGGAGAAGGTTTTGCATAAAGCATGCAACGACTTTTTGGTACAACTTGAGCAGCAAACTAAGGAAGAGCCAACAAAATTTGAAGATTCAAATCTACTTCCTTTGCTTGCTGAATTTTCAGATATATTTGACGAACCGTGCAACCTATCTCTTACTCGTCGGCATGATCATTATATAACGATTCTTCCAGGCAAATCTCCAGCAAATGCTCAGCCATATCAGTATCCACATCTCCAAAATGATGAAATAGAAAGGATTGTAAAAGAGATGCTCAAAACAGGAGTTATTCGGCCAAGTTGCAACCTTTACTCTTCACCGGTGCTACTTGTACGCAAGAAGGACGGAACAAGGCGAATATGTGTTGATTACCGAGTTCTCAATGGCATAACCATCAAGGACAAATACCTTATTCCAATAGTAGATGAATTGCTAGATGAAAGGGAGCACAAATCTTTACAAAGCTGGACCTTTGATCCGGGTATCATCAAATACGAGCGTGCGAAGAAGACATACCGAAAACCACCTTTTGAACACACAACAACCACTACAAATTTTTACTTTCTTCAATAGAAGGTGGAATATCTTGGGCATATCATATCAGAGGAATGTGTGGCAGTGGACCCCTTCAAAATTGGAGCAATGCAAAACTGGTTGACCCCGAGGAACATAAAATTGCTACATGGCTTTCTGGGTTTAATAGGCTACTACCGTAAGTTCGTGAAAAACTATGGAAAGATCAATACACCACTTACTTTCTTACTGGAAAAAGATGTCTTCCAATGGTCGGACAGAGCCTCCGCTGCCTTCGACAAACTTAAGGCAGTCATGACGACGACGCCGGTGCTAACACTACCAGATTTCAACCGACCCTTCATTATTGAGGCCGACACATCTGGAGTCGGAATTGGAGTCATTCTCATGCAAGATGGTGGACCACTCACATACACTAGCAAGGCATTATCTCCCTCCCATCAAAATAAGTCAACATATGATAAGGAGATGCTCGCCATTGTGCGCGCAGCAACGAGGTGGAGACCCTACTTGATTGGCCGACGATTTCAAATTAAAACCGACCATAAAAGCCTCAAGTACTTTTTGGAGCGAAAAATATCATCCCCTGAGCAGCAAAAAAGGGTAATAAAACTTCTTGGATTTGATTATGAAATAACTTACAAAAAGGGAAAAAAGAATGTTCTTGCAGATGCGCTTTCGCAACTACCCGAGCAAGTTGAAGTTTCGGTCGTTTCACTTCCGACCAGCGACTTTCTTAAGGATATTAAGATGGAATGACAGGAAGATTCAGAGACTAATAAGATTATAAAAAAATTGGAGGAAGCACCAAGCCCCATGGCTCATTACAATTGGGACTCAAAAGAATTACACTATAAGGGATGCATTGTGCTTATGATAAATTCTACTTGCATCTTCACGAGCAGATTTTGGACAAAGTTATTCCATATGCATGGTACTAAATTAAAAAGGAGTATGGCATATCACCCACAAACCGACGGCCAGACGAAAGTTGTAAATAGGTGCTTGGAGACAGGCCAAAGTCACCCACCAAATATGACTACCCAAGGAGAACTTCAGACTCAGCCAAGTGCCATTATTGATCGACAGATCGTGACTCAATGACGACGATCCACTACTGAATTGCTAATACAGTTGGCAAACCTACTAACAGAAGATGCCACTTGGGAGAACTATAATGACTTGAAGATCAAATTCCCAAAATTCATGAATCGTCAACCTCGAGGACAATGCTGATTTGAAGAGGACGGGTTTGTTAGGACTATAGCTAGGAGAGTCCTAATTGAGAAGGACATTCATGTAAAACCTACCTAAGTCGACCCCTATTAAAGAGGTGAAGTGGTCGGCTAAGGTTAGGAGGTTATTTCTTAGAGAATAATAAGGAGTTGTAAAGAAATAAGAGTCTTGAGTAGAAGTTCTATTAAGAGTTGGTTATAAGTAGGAGTCTTGAGATCATATTATGAGTTGATTAGAAATAGGAGTCTTAAGTAAGAGTCCTATTAGGAGTTAGGGTTTAGAAGCCCTATAAATAATCATGTATTCCACCTCTTTTCAGAAGTAATAGATGAATCTTTTCTGCAACCTTTGAGCAACAATTTGGAAGGAGGAACCCCTATAAAGTTCCAAGGAGACCGATCCCCTAAAGAGATCAACCCAAAGTTTAGAATCTGCGAGGGTTCTAACAGTGTCTTGTACGATTTCAATGATTGAGGGCTTCTGATTGAGAAAACAATTCAACAGCCAACAAGTCAGGAGGATCACAAATTTGGTTCTTCCTGGAGAGAGAAACTTGAAGAGACATAATTTAGTAGATCATGCAACTAAACAAGTCCCATACTTTCCCACGGAGATGCTAAGATTAACCTCAGGATAGGAAACATTACCTGCAGTCTTTAATAATTAGAAGCATCTCTTATGCCTCAACTTGAAGCACATGTGTGATCTTTAACAAAAAAAAAACCTACAATTTACATGCTCTTCCAATCAGATGAACTGTAAACTGTTGGTAAAAGATGCACTCGCAAGCTGGTGGTAAAGCACGGCAAAGAATTATATTTGCACTGAAACCAGGCTCAGCATGCAGGGATTACAGGTATAACTGATTGGTATAAAAACTAGAAATTATAACAGCACTTTCAATAAGAATTTTTAAGTTATATTACAGAGAAGAATATAATGATACTGTTACTCTCATTGCTGAGACTCTTGATGGCCAAAACTACAAGTCCCCAGATTATTGAACAACTCAGCAGATGTGAGCATGCAGAAGATGTTTTACAATGCACAGGTCATTGCTATCACACAGTAATCACCCTATTACAAATTTACCACTCATTTTTAAGAAAGAAAAAGATAAAAAATACTAATTCTGAATGAAATCAAGTTAATATAGAAAAAATGATAATGATAAGAAAATACAAAACCAAGCAATTCTATAAAGAAAAGAAAAGTAAAACACACAAGGTAAAAATGAAGCAACCTCTGAAGACGCATCAGCCACATTTCCAACTACTGAATATAGTATACAGTTGTGGGTGCTCAGACTATATGAACCTCTGTCCTGAACGTAAATTATGAACCTTCATCAACCAGATCCTACATAAGTAGCATAAATCAGATTACATACAAGATAATTCATACTATTTAATAAAAATGAAATCGGCTAAGATTTAGAAACTAATAAAAGGAATCATTGGAGCAGAAGTGACTAACTTTAGCGCATCAAGTCGCATATTATTTTAGGAAACAACCAGCTACGATAGAAATCAATGTCTGGTCAGGTTTATTGTGCCAAATCCCCAGAGTAATTATTGGTCCCCACATGGTGCAAATAAGTTTCCTAGTCATTCATAATCATGAAGAGAATCAAGAAAATCCTGGTGTTTCATTTCCAATTTAAGCAATGTTTTTCAGCTGAGATATGCCTTCATATGTCCTAAAAACATCATAATTGCAAAAGTTTACAGGTTTGTTCCACCAATATGGGGTTGACTTATGACAACATAGTGGTACCAGTATATTAAGGATAGGTACTTGGCCACCAAAAAAATTGATATTAAATCATGCGATAACACTAGTGGCATTAGACATGATACATACTGACAGCGCATACTAACAACTGATTAGGTTGCCACTGAATGCATGATTGTGTATGGCCTATGAGAAGTTCAGTAGCAAGGAAAATAATTGCATGAGCAAAAGGCAGGCATGCATTATTAGTTAAAACATAAAAGTTATGCTGATTAGCCAATAGCTTATTTGATTTCAGTTTGATAATCTTGCCTGGTTCCACATGAGTTGGGCTGGCTAATAAGACCAGTTGGACAGAATCTTCCCTGATGCCCTTAATTCTTGTTTGCAACATCCAATTTAAGTAAATTGTTAGCTTTAAATATCCAGAATGTGTTGATTAAGAACAAAAAAAATCACTTCATTATCTTTTGTGCTAATTTGACTCCTACATTATGTCTTCTGATAATGATCATATAAATTTATGAGTTCACTATGCATCACAAGTCTTCAAATTGAAGTGCTTTATATGGACATCATTAATGTGGTATTCTTACAGTTATCAGGATAAGATACCAACTAGTTTGGTATTGAAGTGGGATTTGATTGACATAAAAATCAACAATCCCTTAAAGACCTGCCACTCAAGGCCCTTACGGGAGTGTCATTATTCTCTTAGCATACACTGCAATATCCACTTGCTGCTTTATTCAATTGCGGCAATCTCGTAAGAAGAAAAATGATTCATCAGCCTAGAGTTTTAGACCAAAATTACTTGATAGTTCCAAATAAACATTGTACTCTTTCTTTAACAAAAAATAATAGTTTACCTAATACAAAATAATTCATCAAATTTATTAAACAGTGGCTGCCTCATCTCAATTATCGTCATATTCTTTCAATAAACTATTTTAACAGGAGGCCAGCTTTATTTTCAGTATTTTTGTCAACATAAGCAAAATCCTCATTCATAACTTCAAGAGTTAGCTTCATCAACCTATATTCTTTTAAGAATCAGATCTTCAATGAAACAATAATTTAGGTCCAACTAAAAGTTCCAACTAATTACTGAATCAGATTTTCCAAATAAGAACGACCATTGCAGCCTTAAATTAAACAGTTGGACTTCACTCCATGAGACCAATAATTTCCTAAAAACTGGATCAGTGTCATAATTTTATGCATCCTACATCAGCAGATACTATGATCGATGTTGTCATATTCATGAGCAACAATTTGGTATGGATAGTCCTTAGAGGTATAGCATGATCATGCATAATCTTGATCAATAATATTAACAACGCTCTTTAAAGATAGAGAAATGAAAAAATAATAATAGTAGGAGGACAACAACATACCAAGCAAAAGATGAACCTATTAGCAATCATGGCCAATCAAAATGAATTGGAAGAGAGTCCTAAGGTGAGTATCATGCTCAAAGATTAAAAAAATAACCACATTAATTATGCAAATCACAACCAAAGACAACCATTTCACCATTTTCCACATATCATGTTGTATCTACCACACATCCTATGGGATGTGGCATAAGCCAATATCTTCTTCTATTTGTCTCATTACTCCATGCTTCATTGAAGATAAAAAATCATATTTCCAATCATGGGGCTAGATCATGTTACATCTCCTAATGACCTCACAATATGATTGTGCATATACTTATTACTAAGAGATGATATCTGTTACCTTTTTCAGGTTTTACTATTACATGTATCTAAGTTTTGCTTATACCAGAACCAAAGATGGGATTATTTGGATTTATGCCAATTTCTGTTGTTCAGTGAATATGTGGTACCTCAAATTTAAATTCCCAAGGTGCTAAATCCAAAGGGAATTTTATGTTGGACACATGATAAAATGTGAAAAATGAAACAACTAAATGTACAGAACATCAACCGTACGGTTGATTAATATCCAGAAGATTATAATAGCATAGCAATCATATACAACTGTATCTTTCCAAAGAACAAGTTCAAGATAGGAGTCTTCAGATTGTACTGTTCATGGCTGAATTTAGTTAATTCATTGTAAATGAATAACCATAAAAGCCAACAAACTTTACAAAAACAAAGCCATATGTCCCAACTATTAAGCTAACAAACTTTGAATTCAGAATATTTGTTACCTTAAAATATATATTGCTTTGATCTTGGAAGTATCATGCTCACTCACAATGATCATCCATTATCATTAACCTCTTGAAGAGACACCTCTTAAATTATAATATTTTCTACATATACCTAATATGCAAGAATCAGGTCAAGTGACTTTGAAAATATTGCTTGTCATATGCATAAAAATAAATTTAGTAAAATCACAAGAAGTACAATTGATTTTTAAATGAAAATAAAGAATATGAACGACAGCACGCTAGTAGTAAGGTACATGTTGCTAATGCATGCACCGTGTATGGTGCAATGAAATGGTACCACATATGCACATGTAACTGGAAACACTTAATCACTGACAAGTAAATCAAATGAATGTTGCGATAATCAATATGCTAGATGACACTAGAAAAAACTAAGGGACACCAAATGACTTAAGTATTGAACAAGCAACCATATAGATTTAAAATGAGATTCCAGAGGACCACACCATGAGGACGAATAGCAGAATCATCTGGAGCCTCAGGATTCCATTTCAGGTAAGGGTGGGTGATCCAAAAGGATAAATAGGGGTTTAAAACAATTTGCAAGTAATGAGAAGCACCTGAGTCAATGCACTATAGAAGAAAATAAAGGTGATGATAGGCATAGCAAAAAGTTTGGTCGTTGTAGCAAAAGTAGAAGCACAATAATGATGGGCTTGGCTGAGGCGGCAAAAGTCGCAAAGCCAAGGCCAGGGTCAAGCATATGATTTAGCAGAAAATGGTTCTTTGTCCAGATTGACGCAGTTTGCCTTTTTTTTTTTCTTATTGAGGATATTAAGATCAATAAATATTGAGAAGCCAAAGAATTTGAATAATTTATCTAGTCAAATGAGGAGCTTTTAAGATGAAAGGAAGGAGCTGCATTAAGGAAGGCATCAGGTATGGAAGCAAGAAGAACATGACTCCCAGAATGTCTAACATATAATAAAAGGCAATCTCATATGTCCTTCCGTATGCACAGATACAAAAAAGCAAATAGCTTCATCAAGTGCTATGGAGGTGCTTTTGTGCTTCATCATAACATATATGCAAATATCAATAAGATCCTCAATTTTCATGGGAAAAAGTAAATAAATAAAGTAAATTGAAAACAAGAAACTCCTGTGTCTAAAGAAATGGTGGACACAAACATAGAGACTAAGGATGGTCATGCTAACATAAACAAACTGTAAAATTGCAATCAGATTCATCATCAAAGCATATATGACTATTGGTCATCCTCATCAGTCTAATAGAGATTTTGATACAGCAGCATTAATCAAACGTCTATTCTAATAAAATGGTACGCATCTCTCTCACATCTCATCCTTAAACAGACTAAAGCCTTCACCTTTTATAAGTCAACCCTGAAGTGACATGTTATTATGAAAAGGAGCTTTCCTGGATAAAACATTCTGCAATGATATCAAGGAAAGTTAGCCGTTTCTAGTACTTCTAGTCTTCTACCACCCGTTTATACAGCTATAGTTCACCATGTCGCTGACAGAGGTTAGATTCAGAGAATTATAGAGTTTTGGCAAAAGAGAGCCACCATAGAAAATATTGAATAATTTTTGGAGACCAACATTGTGTTAGTATTTCTTCTAGTATAAAAGATTATTTAACCCTCAGTTAATAACTACTAAATTGCAGTTATACCCCAGTACAAAAGGTTAAAAATATGCTAAACTTGTTAAGAATACAATGGCTTACGCACAAAAGAAAGGCTGAAGACAAATTAATTTCATTTATCTCACAATATTTCCAGGTGTTTACCATATGCACCTTGGTTATTTCTAAAAGAACTCATATCTTCTCTGCTCCTATGACAAAACAAAAATTCTGAGATGTTAGTCAAAGACTTACATTACAGATAGAACTTGTAAAGACTCAAGCTATATGATGCTCTTGTCGAGTGATTCCAATTTTCCGTAATTCATGCAGATCACAAGCTATCTGTTGAAGAAACCGAACACCAGCATCACCATTTCTAAGTGAGTTGATAGCATGTTCAAGAAAATTACGATCTGACTCAAGTGCCTCCAACCTCTGACTTAAACATGACACTTCATCCTCAAGAGCAACTAAGTCACTCTTGTTAACTACTTTCAAGTACTTGTCAATGTCAAAGCTGTCTTCATGGTTTCCTTGAAAGGAACTTGAAGGTTTCCTGGATAACTTTTCATCCATTAAAATCCCTCCTACCTGACTATTTTCAAGGGGACCATCTTTCTGATACAGGTGCTCTGGACCTGCAGATGCAATCTTGTCAGAGTACCAACCATTTGTGCCCACACCACCTTCTGACACTCTGTTTCTTTGTATAAAATCTTCACCTTGAATATCTGTACATGTGTTTTCGGGAAATCCATTTTCATCATCATTCACTAATAAACTAGAACCATCATCAAAAACACCATGATTGGAAAAAAGATGAAGCTTTTTCTCCAACTTCACCAAACAATTTGATAGATACGCCTCCTCATCTTCAAAACATGATAAGGGATTCTTCAAACTATCAAAGTTACTCCATCTGGAATCTCGATGCATTACATGATTTTCCCTAGATTTGTTACATGATTCAAGCTCCTTATCATGGAAATTACCATTCAGTTCCACTGCTTGATCATTGGATAATTTATCTGTAAAGCTTTTCCTATAGATTTCCATCTCAGCTTCCAAATCTTGCATTTCTTTCTCTCTTTGAGTCAGCAACTCATTGCATTTCTGAAGTGCTTCATGGTCATATTCAGCTTGCTCTTCCATCATTCTTTGGTAATGCAGAGCCTCCATTTGCATAGCAGCCTTCTCCTCTTGCAACCTAGTAATCATGGCCATTGCTTGATTTGCCGCAATTGCTGAAGCACTTCTTTCTTCTTCTAATTCCTTGTAGAGAAGGTTTATGGACTTCCTGTCCAACTCAACCTGCCTCTTTAGTCTCTCAAATGCACTTTCCCCTTCCACCTCACTAACAAAACTTCCATCTAGTGACTCTAAGCCTGATTCGTTCCTCTCAAGAGAGAGCGTCTTGGTTATGTTCTGCAAAACAGATTCGTCATCTTGTCCATATACTCGAGGACTAGGAGTCATTTCATGCCATGGAGACTCAAGGCCCCGAGATGCAGATATTTGAGAAATTAGCAGTTTCAGATCTTCCTGAACCCTAGAAGAATCCTTTCCCATAATAACATCAGCAAATCTAGGAGATGGCAAGCTTCCCTTAGCACCAACAGCAAGCTTATACGCATCATTCAGATCCATATGATTACTCATAGATTGACCAGGGTCACTTGCATCATGGCTTATCCCCAAATCGATGTCCTTTGCACACCAATCCTTCACATCATCCACATAAGTAGTATTGACACATGCAGCATCACTTTGCTCCAACTTATCTACTTATAACAAGAACAAGAATTGAAAGGTTAGCTAAGGAATTATATAGAGAATATAGATTCAGTAGAGTTATGGATTACAGCTTACCTTTTACATTTGAGTCCTCCACAGGAACTTCTTGGGGATCTTTTGACACAAATTTAGATTGAGGGGGCTTAGCATTGATTTCGATTTGGTTCCAATTGCTATCCTTTGGAATATGTCCAGCAGCACCAGAAGATGAAATTTCTAATACATCATGGAGCTCACCTACACATTTTTGCTTCTCAGAAACTGATTCAGAAGGCTCGTCAATATCTGGGGCAGAGTGAATCAACTTTTGCAAGGCTTTATTGTCTGAAATACTAACTGGATCAGAGTAATTTAATTTTCCTATTGTTTTATTATCTGAAACACTTCCAATATCTGTGGCATTCTCTGGTTCTACATTTTGATACATCAAATCATCCTTGGCATTTTCAGCTCCATGAGCCAGAGATTTTCCTTTACCATCATCTATATGCTGGACTTCTGAGTCAGAGTCAGTAGTAACTTTAACTTCACTGTGTACAATGTGAGAGAACTCGTCTAATCCTTGATTCCTCAAATGGTCAGATGTTGGGGAAACCAAAGTTTTTTCTCTAGTCTTTCTCATCCCATCTCCAGTTAAACTTGACAAAGAAATGTCAATTTCGGAAACATCAACTTCGATGGATTCATCCTCAAGCAACCTAATGGCATGAAGTTTATGTTGGAGAGGCTCAGCACAACATGAACAAATTATTTTGACAGGAGAGCAATTTGTCTCATCCTTCTTCAGAAAAGGGACATTCACCAAATCATCCTCATCACGCACATGGAGGCCATCACCATCAACATACTGAATGTTCTCTCTATAATCAAAATGTCTTCCAAGATTACCTACCAGAGATCTGTAAGTTTCAGGTTTCAATGAGAGGAGACAAGCCTTGCACATGGTGTGAACATCAGCAAGCTTCCCGTGAGCATGACACAAGGCCAGTGATGAGATCTCTGATCTGTGGGTTTCACAAATTAAATCTAGATAGAAGTCCAGTTTCTCACTTCCAAATATGTGATCTAGCCTTGAGCAGAATATACAAGGTGTTTGTAACTTGCATATACGAGAGAATTTTGTCACCATGTAGGAAAACCAGGCATCAAAGAGTAATAGAAGCATCAATATCCATTCAAGAATCGCCAAAGACAAAGCAGATGAGAATCGCTTGAAACCACTGATGTGAGCCCTTGAACCCATCCCTAGCCGGTTTTACATCAACTTCTCAGGGCACCTATATAGGCGGAGAGATGAAACAGCCCGCAAACTTCAGGAGTAGAGCAAATTGCAGTTGTTCTTCGTGAATCCCAGCTGACAGTTGCCACTGAAAACATCAACATGTTGACATCAAGATCTAGAATACCATGCAGAATTTTCAACAATAGGCATCAATTTATTCAATTCATCCCCATGAAATATACACAAACTGGAGAATTCAAGCAAATTCCTACTAGCAGAGACATCAATAAGATATCAACACACAAAAGAAGATATGCATGAGCAAACTGATGAATAGCAATCAAACCATAAAGAAGCACAGATCAAACGTATACTCTTTTCCCAAAAGAATATATATAAAGTTCTTTCTTTTGATGATTATACCAAAAGCTAAAGCATCAATAGACGGTATATGCCAAATAACAAGAGCAGATCTCGATCACCCAAATAAAAACCGATATCAAGAAAAAAGCGCCAATTTTTCAATCAAATCAACGGGGAAAGCGATCGAGCTACCAAGGAACAGAACCAAGGAGACAAAATTGGATGAACCATGCAGTTGAAGGATACCACGCAGGTCAGCCAATCAAATCCAGCAAAGAGAAAAGATAAATAAAAAAAAGGAAAGCAATCGAAAGAAGACCTTTTTCAGACTTCTTCCGCAGCCGACGAGCGAAGAGAAGAGGATGCGACCGGTGGAATCGGGTCTACTAGGGCAAGAGAAAGACAAAAGCAACCGAAAGGTGAGGCTATCACCTCCCACCACTCTCCTTCCCAGTCTCCGTTATTGACATTATTCCGAGGCGCTGACGTCGAATGACGAAAAGGTCGGCTGCGATCGCGAGATAACGACACGGCACCGGCCGAAAGGCGATAGGCTAAAGCCAACCCAGCTAAATTTCCATGTCCACGGTCGAGACAAAAGTCAGTAAAAACCTTCGAGATATCGAATTAGATCGAGGAAGAGAAGATAGATTTAAGGGTTTTACCTCTCCGAGGGATCGGACCGGCGGCCATTGGAGTCGACGAGTAGAAGAAGGCTGCCTTGCGATCTGATCGTAGGGAGGAAAGCGGAGACGGGCAAAGAGATTTATAGGTTTACCCGTCCGAGCACTTACCTCATCATCGAGTAGCGACACAGAATGGGACCCACTTTTACATCGATGGCGATTGGCGGGCGAGAAGCATCTGAGACTCGGGTATGACTTTGGGTACGTGTCCGAAGGCAGATCTATCGCACGATCCGTTCCCCGACAGGGTTCAGTCTGCTTCCAACTATTTATTGGTATGTTTAGTGGGCCCCACGAAAGTGAGGTTAGAGAGTCAGTATGTACCGTGTTTTGTATTTCCATACTTCAATTTCCTATCCTCCAAGGATTCTATGTATTCAAAATAACTCCTCAATTTCCAATAATATTCTGGTTGATCAAACAATTGGATGTGAACTCTTCTTTGTATGCAACTTAATTCATTTTACACTTCGATGTGGTATATATACATTTTACTTGTTGGGTAGTTGGTAAACATCTTAAGTTGTTCAAAGCATGCTCTCGAATCGAATCACTGTCCTTATCATAAAATTAACAGTTGGTGTATGACAAGTCAATGAACTAAATCTAAATTTTTTTTTTTTTCTTTTCAAGTTAAGAGGAGGAAGAACATATTTTTATTTTCAAAAATAAGTCTAACATTATGAGGTCAGTGTTGCTCTAATAAATAGCAAACAAAGTCTTATGTTCGGTTGGAATATTCGTTAAACAACAATTACAAATGGATGAACACATTGTTTATAGATTGAAGTAGAGAATGGACAAAGACGAAATAGATGTGTGAGATTTTGGGTGACAAAAAGTACTTTCATTCAAGATGAATTAAGTCTTTTGGTCTCACAGAAAATTAAAATGAGAAAATTTTGTAATTAAATTAGGGCAACAACCGTGCAAGAAAATTAGTATGTAATAATAATAATAATAATATTATTATTATTATTATTATGAGTGAAGAGGCAAAATGGAGAATTGAAGGGTAGCATTAGCCACAGTAAGGAGGGCAACATTGTAATAGTGGTGGAAGGGGTTCCCAATGTTGACCTAAATACCCTCTTTTCTTTGATCCCCGCCGTATTCTCCATCCCCTCCCTTGCCGCACCCGCCTCGCTTTCTGCCCTTTTGCCCCTCCCAAACTCCAATCTCCTCCCCCAAAACCCCCCTCTTCTGCCCAAAATCCCTCCTCCTCTCTTTGCCCTTCCTTCAAATCCCTCGCTTGCCCTCCCGATTCCCGCCACCCCCCAACGTTCCCCTCTCTGTCCCCCCGGAAAGAAGCCACCTTTGCTTCCTCCGCCTGCTGTAAACCTATGCTCGATCTGTTCTTCGCCTCCCCCCTCCCCGCCGATTCCTCCCGGTTTCGTTCCTCGCGGCTTCTTCGACGTTTTCCCCCGGCAAAGGTCGGCTCTTGACCGCGGTCGCGTATACTGCCTTTAGGTACTCTTGTTACTTGAAGCTTTGGGTTTCTCTATGTTTTGGTTCTGTCGTTAAGCACTGGTTTCGGATGGGGAATCGGAGTGAATTTGTGTGGATATAAAGACTTTTTTTTTTCTTTCCGAGCGAAAAAAAAAAATGGATTTTTAGCTCGTTCTTCGTTTTGGATGTGTGTTCGTCGTGCAATTATGTTGGAAAGTTGGGATTTTTGAGAAGGATGTGTCGTTTTTTGCTTTTGCTTTTGTGCCAAAGTAGTATTAAAAGCTTAAATATTTGATTTTTGGTTGCTGCTCTTGTGTTTTCAAGCGTTTGGATGCTGTTGGAGGATTGGCAGATCAGAATTTGAGCTGAGCATTTCAAGCATACATGGCCAACCATGATTTAGTTCTCGGGCAGAACCCCGATCTAGTCCTTGGCCAGAACCACGATCTGGTTATCGGCCAAGGACATGGTTTAGGCCTTGGGCAGAGGCATGGCCTTGGCCTTGGCCATGCTCATGACCATGACCTCGGTTTAGGCCAAGCCCATGACCATGAGCTCGGTCTCGGGCATCCCCACGACAGCCGGCTTGTCTTGGGGCAGCAGCATCATCCCCATGACCATGGCCGTGACCATAGCAATGAGCTCGCTTTGGGACAGAACAATGACACTGATGAGGATGCTCTTGATGCACAAAATCACGAGTTGGGTATATCGGACAACCATGAATTGACACTTGCTGAGACCCATGGTCTTGGGGTCGATCAGAACATGGTCCATCTCTCCATCGATCAGGCACAGGAGCTTGGCCTCCAGTCCGCGCATGACATCTCACAGGGCCACATGCTGGTCCCTCAGGTGTTGCAGAATCGCAGATTGATTGTGAACCCAGACCATCAGCTGACTATTAGCCAGGAGTTCTCTGATGTCAAGAGTTGCCGCCGAGCTATACGGGATGCTGCAATTGCTTGCCGTTTTGAGATACAGACTGTGAAATCGGATAAGACACGCTTCACAGCGAAGTGTGCAGCTGAGGGGTGCCCATGGCGCATTCATGCTGCAAAGCTGCCGGGTGTTCCAACTTTCACCATCAGAACCATCCATGAGATGCACACATGCAGTGGGATTAACCATCTTGGGCATCAGCAAGCATCAGTTCAGTGGGTTGCCAACTCTGTGGAGGAACGGCTCAGAGAGAACCCACACTGCAAGCCAAAGGAGATACTAGAAGAGATCCACCGCATGCATGGGATCACCTTGTCATACAAGCAGGCCTGGAGAGGGAAGGAGAGGATAATGGCCGCTGTTCGAGGGTCCTTTGAAGAAGGTTATCGTCTCCTACCACAGTATTGTGATCAAGTGAAAAGGACAAATCCAGGAAGCATAGCAACCATATATGGAAATCCAGAGGATAATTGCTTCCGTCGACTTTTCATCTCATTCTATGCCTCAATATATGGTTTTGTCAATGCATGCCGGCCACTCATTGGACTCGATAGAACTCTTTTAAAAAGTAAATATCTTGGCACCTTGCTCTTAGCCACTGGGTTTGATGGAGATGGTGCTCTGTTTCCTCTTGCTTTTGGGGTTGTTGATGAGGAAAGCGATGATAATTGGATCTGGTTTTTATCTGAACTTCATACTTTGCTTGAGGCAAATACGGAGAACATGCCGAGGCTCACGATACTGTCAGATAGGCAGAAAGGTATTATAGACGGTGTTGACTTCAACTTCCCAACTGCCTTCCATGGGTTTTGCATGCGCCACCTCAGTGAGCTTTTCCGCAAAGAGTTTAACAATGATGCACTTGTAAAACTCCTCTGGGAAGCTGCCCATGCTCTCACAGTTATTGAATTTGAGGCAAAGATATTAGAAATAGAAGAAACATCACAGGAGGCTGCATTTTGGATTAGGCGCATTCCACCACGTCTTTGGGCTACGGCCTACTTTGAGGGAACACGATATGGCCATTTGACAGCAAATGTAGTTGAATCATTGAATAATTGGATACTTGAAGCTTCTGGACTGCCAATAATTCAGATGATGGAATGTATTAGGCGGCAGTTGATGACCTGGTTCAATGAACGACGTGAGGCTAGCCTGCAGTGGACGTCGATTCTTGTACCATCAGCTGAACGACGAGTGTCTGATGCCATAGAATGTGCACGGGGTTATCAAGTAGGACGAGCGAATGAGGCTGAATTTGAAGTTGTCTCTCCTCATGAGGGGACCAATATTGTGGACATTCGCAACCGGTGTTGTCTGTGTCGAGGGTGGCAACTTTATGGTCTACCATGTGCTCATGGTGTGGCAGCTCTTCTTTCGTGTCGACAGAATGTTCATAGATACACAGAGAGCTGTTTCACTGTCGCAACTTATAGGAAGACCTATTCGCAAACTATTCATCCAATACCAGATAAAAGTCTTTGGAAAGAGATGTCTGATGCAAATCAGGAAGGTGATAATAAAATTGAGATAGTCATTAATCCGCCCAAGTCCCTTAGGCCTCCAGGCAGACCTAGAAAGAAGAGAGTTAGAGCAGAAGACAGAGGACGAGTTAAACGGGTCGTGCATTGTAGCCGGTGCAATCAAACAGGTCACTTCAGAACGACATGTGCTGCACCCATATAGTTGTTGCCACTATGCTGGCCATATTCATGTGAAAATTAAGGCATGTGCCTATCTATGTGAACCTCCAGTGAACTTATTTCTTGGGGATTGGTTTCTTAGTTTTTTTTTCATCCTTTCTTTTTATTTGTAGATCTATGGTTTTCATGTATCAACCGAAAAAAATAGAGCTAAAAAATGCTCTGATCTGCAGTTTGGAGCCTCGGATCGATACAGTGGTGTTAGATCCAGGTAGTCGGTCCTAAACAGTTGAGACATTAGGGTTTGTTGTTGTGAATGATGGTAAGTTATTGTACAGTTAACGAGGCCTCGATGATATTGTTGGAATAAGTCTCGTTCCAGAATGTCCTTTGAGCTAGATGTTGTTTGATGGCGCATCTATTTCGTATATTTGAGTGTCCAAGTTTGACTTCTTATTCTTGCTTGTCACCAACATGTATTTTTTGCAGATGCATGGGTCATGATGCGAGTCTCTTGTGCATGCTTGCGCACATGCATGCGTCCTTTGCAGTGTTTGCTATGAACTCGAAGATAATAACATTCGATTGTTCATTTATGCTCTGAGATGTTCTTGTTGATATGAAGACCATTGCATTTAGCATGCTTAGATATATAGTAAGTGCTCCGACATCCACTTTGCTTATCACCAGCAGTTCAACTTCTTACATCTGAATGTTATTTGGCATAATTCAAGCTTCTGCGTTAATGTTTATGCCGTAATGTTATTTCCAGAAATGCTACTTTTGCATATTAAATATAATAGAGGACGATCTCCATTTCATAGCAAGCTAGTCTTCATATTTGGGGCTCTGCTAGTATCATCACTAGTTGGTGCTGCTTGCGAGTACGAGGCTGTGCACTCTGTATTCATTTCTGCAGCTGTTTGCCGGTCTGAATCAACAGCATGCCGAGCGTTTGGCGGAAGAGGAAAGGGAAAACGAAAGATCGAGTGGAGAGTGATTGAAGT